ACTTGTGTAAGTTTCTTAACAATACTAAAATATAACTACAAACAAAATAATGTACACACTTGTGTAGGTTTCTTAACAATACTAAAATATAACTACCAACAAAATAATGTACACACTTGTGTAGGTTTCTTAACAATACTAAAATATAACTTCCAACAAAATAATGTACACACTTGTGTAAGTTTCTTGACAATGCTAAAATATAACTTCCAACAAAATAATGTACACATTTATGTAGATTTCTTAACAATACTAAAATATAACTACGTAAGTATAATGAGCGAAATTTACACTATATCATAAATATAATTACTTTATCGATCAGTCACTAATTTGATCGAAATTTAAGGTTTAATAATAGTTTTACATAACAGAAACGTTAAGAGCTAAAAACTAACTTTGTCAATAATTGAAGAAGATAATATCTGGCTTTAGCTACCCCCACACACGAGCTTATGTTGAAGCTAAATCAGTCAGTCAAGTTTCCCCATTGCACATGATTTTGTTAAGGAAGAGTTACGAAACTGATATTAAGTTTTTAAAATGGGAACGGCATTCCACTCTGTTTACCCTCAGTTCGAGTACAGTATTTGTGTAGATTCGCCAAGACAGTTAAACTAGTAATAGCAGCACACTAGAAACACGTCTGTACAGGTTTATTTAAAGAACTGGCATTTATATATTAACAATATAGAAATATATTTGTGTATGTTCCTCAAGAGTACTAAATTGTATCTATCAGTAATACTAGTGTGCTGGTTCCTTAAGAGTGGTACAATGTAACTCTCAATAACACCAGAAAAACATTTGCGTCTGTTCCTCAAAAGTAATAAAATGTAGTTACAAACAGTACTAGAAACATATTTATATAAGTTACTCAACAATACTAAAATGTAAGTAGCAACAATAATAGAGCACTTGTGTATCCTTGAGTAAACATGTTGCAGTGTGTTATTGATAAAGGCTTATTTAGACCAATGAAATGTATTTCTCCAGTTGCTTTGAGAAGTAAGAAAAACAAACAACGCCCTTTCAACTAACGATGTACGTTAAGTGCACAAGACGTCTCGTTGCCCGTTTATTATCCTAATATCCCGCGAAGTTTCCTTCCAAGCAATGTTAAAGCGAAAACTTAAACACCTCGGAACACTTAATGCTTATTACACACGTGACACTAATTTACCTAAACAATTCTTGCAGTGTTCTCTCATTTGATCTGATGATGACAAAACTTTGTCGAAACGTTGTACGTTTGCTGTTATGTTAAAGTTTTTCTTCATTACCCATTCAAGCCGCCTCCAACCATTATTAGTCTCGGAGTGGGTTCCTCGTCATCGAAAACAAAACTTAATTTGTGTTTCATAAATTCACAAAGTTTGTTCAGAACTTCTTTCTGGTATTCGTACTGCACGGATATAACTAATTATCAACTAATTTCATGCAGAAAGTAAAGGTAAATATAAGTACTAAAAGTACTCACAGGATTAAATTGTGAGTTTAAGAATTATTATTCTGAATAGTTTTATAAACGAAATAACAGTGGAAGTATTTTATTAAATTATCTTGTGTTCTACTATATTCAGCTTGCTGATGTGGTCTTCGTAAGCCTCGTGTGTGGTTTTATAATCACTAAACTAATTTTAATATGACGTAAGCCAAAACACGACAAATATCAAGGTATATAATTCTCACACTTGGTATTTGCGCTAAATTGCAGTCTGGTACATATGTTTACCTCCCAAATATGTATTGAATCACTTAGCAGAGATTCGTTTAGAACAAAAACGATTAATGATATAATGGCTGATGTGAAGGACCTGTTTAGAATCTTCTCCATGGGTTTTGAATATTATATATTTCTAGGAATATTATATTAGTAGCTTACTACAATCGCTTCAGTTGACTTCTTTTTATCTGTATTTTAAAATAATCAATATTAACCCAACTTAACTTTGTTTTCATGTACGTTTAAAAAACTATTGTGACCGCTTCATATAGTTTTGCTTGTTATACCACTAAAATAGCATATCCGCTTTAATACGTGTTTTAACAGTAAGCTATTTCATGGGTTTCAAAGTTTGTATGTGTGTTATGAATTTTAGATGGTTGAGCGTTATACTAGTACACAAATATTACAGTGAACTAACATTTTCGCTTTAGTTGGTTTCTATGTACAATTTGACAATACAATATTACATTAGCTCAGTATAATTTTTATGATTAACAAAATATTACATTAGCTTCAGTCACTTTCAATGTTTGTTAAACAATAATAATGTTATACAATCTTCAGTTATTGTTTTTTTCTGTGTATGTGTGTGTGGATTCGTTTTAGTCAATTTTTAAGCGTGTTACAACAAAAGGTTACACCAGCCTCGGATAGTTTCTGTATGCTAATATCAGTAATGTGGTATACTCGTTAGAACACTCATAAACCAAGTAAATCAGTATGTTATTACACTAGCTCTAGATGGTTTCTGTATGCTAATATCAGTAATGTGGTATACTCGATTTACTTGGTTTATGAGTGTTCTAACAATATGTTATTACACTAGCTCTAGATGGTTTCTGTATGCTAATATCAGTAATGTGGTATACTCGATTTACTTGGTTTATGAGTGTTCTAACAATATGTTATTACACTAGCTCTAGATGGTTTCTATGTATGTTTTCTAAATGTGTTCTAACAATATGATATTTCAACAACTTCATATAGTCTTCAACTATATAATATCTCTAATATTACACAAGCTCCAAGTGGTTTCAATGAGGGTTTAGCTCGCCTGTTTAAAAATACGATATTACACCAGCTTCAGTTCATTTCTATGTGTATCATGATAATACAATATTAAAGTATTTGTAGTTTGCATCTATAAGTATTATATTAGTAATAAAGTATATTTGTTTTAGTTTGTTTCTGAGTGTGTATTGTAACAATAAAATATTATAACAGCTATAGATGTTTTTTATGTGTGACTTATATATACATTCCTTTAGCTGTTTTAATGACAATATTACACCAGCTTTACATTGTGTATGTATATTAGTGAATTTGTGGTTGGTTGTTTCAGAATGTTTGTTCCAAGCCACACAAAGAGGTGCCTGCGTTTAGCAATCCATAATTTCTTACTACTAGACTAGGGGGAAGGCAGCTAGTCAACAGCACCCGCCACCAACTCTTGAGCTACTCTTGTTTGACTGCTACTCTTACAGTGCACCTACAGCCCCAAAGTACGAGGTGCGTTTTTGCGACAAATTACCGCGATCCAAGAACCTTTAGATTCACAACCACGCTAACCAATAGGTCACGCAGAGTCAGTAAAATAGTGTATTCGAGTTGGTTTGTATTTGCATGTGACATAACTATGATGTTACGTCAGCTCTAGAAGTTAGTGACTTTTTTATATCGTTCACTGCCTGTGGGACTTACATACTACATTATACTGACCAGTTGTAGGATCTTTTTATCTTTTACAACACAGATTAAAGGGTTAAATCACTCATTTTCCATGTAAATAACGAAAGTGACCCCTGAAATTCTTAATTGGATTAATTGCAATATTGATAGTGTGACTCGTCTGGTACAAGAAATCTCGTAATAAAAAAGTTGTGGACTCATAAAAAATTGTGTCCATAAATAGTAAAGAAAATGTGTTTAAAGAGCTCGTGTTGTCTATATTGACTCTATGGGTAACTGGTGTTAAAACAAATCATGGTCAGTTTAATGTTAACCAACATTTGTGAGGAGAAAGAACACCTGTAACATACAACAAACGATGCGAGTTGAATCGTATTTTGAAACTCTTCATCCTGTAATTTCATACAGAAATTAACTGGATTATAAAGAATAAATCAACTAGAATGAAACTATAATGAACGTAACTTATTTAGTAGTACATTATCTCGGATTAAATTATACGAATATAATGCAATTACACTTTAACTTCTTGCTAAATGTTAATGAAAATGTCTTGAAACAGAACTTAAAACGTTA